TCCTCTTCTTCTTCTCCTCTTCTTCTTCTCAAGCCCTAGCCTTCACTCTCTAAAAAATGGAACAAAATGATCCAAAGATCAGCCCTATACAACAATACATCCTCAAAAGAAATAGCTAGGGAAAAGACCAAAATGCCCTTAATGATTCCCGGACGGATTTCCTTGTCAACTGCCCAACTTTCAAAGGCCATAACTCGCTCATACGAACTCGGAATTGAGCAAACTCGGTGGCGTTGGAAAGATCATTCCACAAGCTTCACAACCATAACTGGAACTACTCCTAACTCATCCTGATCTAGAAGTTATGACTGCTCAAAGTTGGCCAAAAATCACTGATTTCCATACTTAGCCAAAAAATTTCCAGATTTTCAAATCCTTTCCAAAAATTGAAAATTTTCAAATTCTAAGCCTCTTCTTAGCTATTTCAAATTGCCGGATGTTACATGTATCATCAAAATGTTCATTTACTTTCTTCTCTGTTATTCAAATAATGACAGATGATGGCACTTGAATTGGGAGTATACAAGATAAGAGTGAACTCAATAGCACCAGGAATTTTCAAATCTGAGATAACAGAGAGACTTATTCAAAAGGAACGGTTCCATAATTTTGTCTTCAGAACCTTTCCTTTGAGAGATCTTGGAACGACAGATCCAGCTATAACATCAGTTGTCAGGTATTTAATCCATTCTTCTTCAGAGTATGTATCCGGCAATATTTTCATTGTTGATAGCGGAGGGAGCTCAACAGGTGTCCCAATTTTCTCATCACTATAGAACAGAGGCAGATTCATGATTTATGGTTCAACCAAAGCCAAATTAAGGATTTTCTAGAATAAAAACCTCAAGTTTATATACAATAATAGTAGACTGAATATCTCATTAGGATTATTCAGTGTACACCTTAGCTTTTTTGTAGTTCTAATTACCTTCCTACGTATGGCTACTTGATAGTCTCAGCAAAGAGTGTGGATACACTCTCTTTTAGACACATGGAGTAAAGAAAAATTGGAAAATAAGCTTTTAGGTTGTTTTTTCAACCATTAATTGCTACATAGTCATATATCTAATTGTGCATTTTTCTTCTTTCTTTTTAATATTAATATACAATGCATATTCTACCAAACTATGAATTTCTTGTTATATATCTTGATTAGATGCAATGGTTATATATTCCAATTGTATTGTATTTCTTCTTTTCTGAACCTAATATGTAAAACCCTTGCTAGAACTTCGTTATTGTTAGCCAAATAAGAGAAGTTTTTATCCAAAAGTAATGGAGTTCCAGCAATATATTTCTTTTCATTTCTTCGTAGGATTCCATGACTATTTATTTCAAATTATCTATTTATTCCTTTTTAGGTCAATTGTGTAAACTGTGGTTCTGCATAAAATGCCTGGGAATTGCTTCCCTAACCAGTAATCTGAGATAACCGTGGCTCTCAGCCTGTTTGGCTAGATGCAACTTTTTGTCAATTTTTTTTTCTACTTTGAGGTGGTTGTCCCAAAATAACAAAAAAAAATGGTTTTGAGCAATAGCAGAAGCAACTTTTGTACTGTTTGGAAAAAGCTACACATTTCTGCTTTTCCTAAGAAGTACAGAAAAGTTTGCTCCTCTAAAGCAGGGAACTAACTTGCTGCAGAGGGAAACTAAACCAAGGCAAAATTGCTTTCATCCATTTCTATTTGGTGCTTTATTGCTTCATGACTGAGATAACCATGGTTGTTTACTGTATAGGCTGAATTTTTTGACTGTCAAACCAATTGGACAACTGAGCTGCGGTGTTATCAAAAACAAAAAGCGCAAAAAAGCTCTAAGCTCCATTGGGGCTTTAAGCGCAAATAAAACCTGGGCTTTAATGACAAAAGGCTCAAGGGGAGAAAAAAATACAATATATATGTTTAGTCCAAGACTAATAATTTAAAAGCATAAATGACATATATATGAACAAAGAAATTGAAAAATAATTACGATAAAGTGAAATATCAATTGTTTAGTGTCGCCTCTTTAGAAGAGGTTCATTGGCAAAGACAAGTATGCCTCGGAACCTTGATGACGACACTAAAGTGCACATTAAGCGAGGCAAAGCGGTCAACACGTTTTTGAGCCTCGCTTCAGGGCTTAAGCGCGCCTTTGATAACATTGAACTGAAGATTGCACCAATATATACACTACTAATTAGAAGAGTTTCACCTATCTTATGCATGGCTCTTTCACAATCAACAATTGCAAAATAATCAGGGATAAAATTAGTGTGGTCAAAATCTTGCAACTGCCAATGCAAATGAGGACAAAAAGCAGTAACCATCACCTCAATATTAATATCTGTGAATAGCACAATACAAAATGTTGAGGCAAGATTTTACCAGAGAATTGGCCAACAGACTCTAATCATTTTTTACAAAAGTTGGATACTGATGTGACGTAAACCAAGCAACAGAAGAAACACTGCATGAGGTGGAAACAACAAATAACTAGTATATCCAATAAACATGTGTACCATCACTCCCAATACTGTAGAGTGCTCTAAGAAATTCCTGAAGCAAATTCAGCATATTAAGCCAATTCCTGAATGGATATTAACATCCAGAGGGTAGAGGGAATGAATTTCTTTTAAATCACAAGTTTCAAAAGTCCTCTTTTTCTCTTGTAATTTCATGTCAAAACAAACAACATCACATAATAGGACGAAAAGAGTATATCAATGAAGAGAACATTATTTCTATTTAAATGTCACCATTTTAAAAAAACAACTAAACATGAGAGTTGTGCATTCTTTAAGGAGTTAACCCAAAACCTTACAATACAATTTAATGGCACTATGCACACTACAACAAAAAAAACTTTTAGCGGCAATAAATATTGACATTAATAAAGAGTGCTAAAGTCTTTACCGGCATTAGTTAAGTGTCATTAGAACCATGTCGCTAAAGGCTTTAGGGACATATACAAAGAGTGCTAATTGCCACTAAAAATACATATTTAGCGGCAATTAAGAATTAATTGCCGCTAATGATCATTTTTTATGTAGTGGCACCACCTTTATTTGCATTCCTAAAAGTACCCTTCTCTTTCAGAAGATTCACACAAGTACGTCATAGATATTTATATTCTATTAAATGGAAATTCAGAAAAAAAAGAAAAGATTTTCACTCAAGCTTCTAGTAAGACTTAAGGCGACTATACATTCAATCTATAAGTAGGAATAGCCATTAGATGTTGAGCTCGAGGTGTCACTAAGCCGAATTTCTCAGTCATGTCTATATGGTTTGGCATCATACCATTCGGTAGCTCCCAATCAAAGCAATGAACCAATTGTGCTAGCACTAGGCGAACGATGGTGAGCCCTAGTTGTAATCCAGGGCAACTTCTTCTGCCAGAGCCAAATGGTAAAAGTTGAAAGTCATGCCCACGAAGATCAATGTTGCTATCAATGAACCTTTCTGGCATGAACTTCTCGGGGTCAGGCCAAGCTTCTGGATCTCTTCCAATCGCCCACACATTTACAAAAAGTCTTGAACCTTTAGGTACATCAAAACCATCTACTATGCAATCTTCAATTGATTCATGAGGTGTCAATAGTGGTGAAGGGGGGTGCAGCCTAAGTCCTTCTTTTATAACCATGTCTAAGTACTCTAGCCTTTCCAAGTCTGACTCTTCCACCATTCTATTTATGCCAACAGCTTGTTCCAACTCATTTTGTAGTTTCTTCATAACCTTAGGGTGTCTTAAAAGTTCAGAAAAAATCCAGTCAATTGCAGTTGATATAGTGTCTGTTGAAGCTATTAGCAAGTCCTGCATTTACGCGGAGATCTTTTTCAGTTTGCTAAAGCAATAACAATATTGATCACAAGCATGCTAAGTACAATACTATGAATTACTCTTAATCTATTCGCTCTCAAAATTGACAAAAGCTTTTGCCTTCAGGGAACTTATTCATTATGGAATATTAAAGGAATAAAGTTCTAGCATACTGATAAATAGGACTCAATTAAGAAATAAACTTCCAATATGGAAGAAATAGCATATTTGTGCACATTCCCTTTTCTTTATTTGAAATTTTCAATTGAGAGAAATTCTCAATAAATTTGAGCCTACAATCGCGCATAGTACTGTACTACTGCTCTTAGTAATTATTGGAATTTGCCAAATTGAGCCTAATATTAAACTTTCAACTCTAAGCTCCTTGGTGACCATTGATGTTATAATTTGAACAAATTAATTAGTAGGTTAACTTCTCCATACCGGAAAGAATATCTACCATATTTAGGTCATCTAAAATATAATTATAAATAACCTTCCATAACTAGTGTGACCAGTTATCTGAAAAAAGAAGAAACAGGTAATAGCCTATTACAATAGGTTAAAATACTACTTCCTCTGGTCCATATTAAGTGAATTGTTGGGGTTTGACACACACCCTAAGAAAAATATTTAAGGACATAAACAAAAGGCTACTTTCTACTATTACCCTTTTGATTATTCCCAAATTATTCTCCTAAAAAATGTATAGTAGTTAAGAACATTATTAAATAGAGGGAAAACATGGAAAAAGTCCCAACAATTCTCTTTAACTTTGAAAAATTCACTTATTTTTGAACTAAGAAAAAAGTCCCAACAATTCACTTAATATTGACTAGAGGGAGTAGTAATGACCAACGAGGGATATGCTGGGATAGATGAAATACACCTATCATTAATTAGAGTCTCGGTTTCAAGTCTCAAGAATGAAGACATTCATGGTAGAGAGTGATTCCCCTATAATGGTGCTACACGAGGCAAATCTGAATTTATCGGGCCATTGAGTACCGAATACTAGATGGGTAAAAACGATTTAAGAAGTTTAATTATTATTTTTGAAGTATAGAAGTTAAATCCAATTACTAAAGTAGATGGAGTGAATTCCAATAACGTTACCAGCAAGACAGCTTTGACATGGCGACGATCAAATTTGAATTCAGCTTCTCCAGATTGCATAATAGTCATCATAGTATCAATAATATCCTTAGCCTTCTTTTGGTCCTTGGATTGAACATGCTCATCAATAACTTTCTCAAAAAAATCATCAAAAATCTTTGCCAATTCCTTCATGCGACCAATAAATCCCTGCAAATCAAACACACTAAGGAAAGGAAAAAACTCACCAATATTTGGTGATGCTGCTAGAACTACAGTCTCTTCCATTATATTTTTAAAACCCCTTTCATCAAACTCCTCTTCCATATACTTCTTTCCAAGTACCATTAAACACGACATATTCGCGCTTAGAGAGGCAAGTTTAGCACTAAGATCAACCTCAATATGATTAGAAGCTGCTTGTTTGAGAGAATTCACAAATATTCCAAGCTCTTGTTTTCTCATAGATCGAAATGAATTGATCTTGATGTTAGTAAGCAATTTTATCGTGCACAATTTTCGCATATTTCTCCAATGAGGTCCATATTTTGCGAAAACTATATCTCTGTGATCATATGCAATGTATTGACCAGCTGCATTATATGGTCTACTAGCAAAAGCAATATCATGTTTTTTTAAGAATAGTTCAGCCGCATGAGGAGATGAGGCAACGATTACAGGAACAAGACCAAATTGCATACTCATTATGGGACCATGTTTTTTTGCTATATGATGAAGAGCTTGATGGAGATTTTTGCCTAATACCATATGGAGATTTCCTATAATTGGAAACCCTTTAGGACCTGGAGGAAGTTTCTTTTTCTTTTTCATGAATATGTTGAGCAATGCTTGAACAGGGTATAGCACTGCAACTATCACTGCAAGAACTTGCCAAATAGAAACCATTGATGTAAATTAATGTGTTAGCTTCCTAACTTACAAATAGTTTCTCTATATAGAAATGCGATGGAACTTAACTAAGTTCAACATATATTTATACACCTAATCATAACATACATAGAAGGTAAAAAACAATTTTGACCCCATGCATATAGGGGAAGTAAGTAGGCGTTTGGACTTTGCACATAGAATTGATTGAAATTTGAAAAAAGAGTTTTTGAAGTTGAAAAAAGGTATTTGGAAATTGAAGTTGTGTTTAGATATGCATTTTACTAGAAAAGAAAGAAGGCTTTCTAAGTGAAAACAATTTTCAACAAAATTTTGCAAATTTGAAAATTTGAAAAACTCATTTTTAAAAATCATTCCAATGTATAACCAAACAACGTTTTGGAAAAAAAAAATCATATCCAAACGGGCCCTAAGGACAGTAACATCCTTTGTAAACTTTGTACACAACAACAACAAATATAATAATAATAATAATAATAGTAGTAGTGGTAGTAGTAGTCGTAGTCACCTTTGGTAGGAAGCTTTGTATCCCCAAAAGTGGAACTTCCCTAGGAGAATTCGGATTAGTTTGGCCCCAAAGCGGGTATTGGACACCGGGTGGAAAACCAAGAAAAAAAAAAAAAGTAATAGTAATAGTTGGCCGGCCTAGTTCTAGATCCATTAGACCTTCAGCTATTAAATAGGCGCTAGTAACACGTTTTCTAATAGCACTCACTCACCAGCCAATCCGAACAACTAGAGTATATAAATGGTAAAGCATACACCATCTGTTCCTCAAGATGATAAATTTTCTTCTCCTCCCACCTCTAAGGGACCTTAGGATGGTGTTTTCATTTATTGTTTAATCAATTTATGTTAAATGCATGGTCTTCCTTAAAGTATTTACTAAATTGGCAGTTAGGCCATTTTGACAAAAGTTTTACTTAGGTTGGCCAACTTAAATCTATTCTGGTACCGTGAAGAAAAGAACTTAGATCTGGTACTAATGGGTACACTACTTAGCTCTTGCATAAAACAATAACTGGCACTCAATACTTTCTTACACAATGTTATAAAATACTTATTTTCTATATAACTCTCTTCACCCTTACATTATTAGCTGGATATATACCTTGGTAAAATGGAGCCGTGGAAAGATTGGAGTGGATAAATATTGATGGTAATGGGCGTCATCAGGAATCTGGCGAGAATTGTGTCTCGACTTGGCGAAAGTCGGTTGAAGCATCACTGCTGCCGCTCGTCGTGTAGACAGGCTGAAATCTCTCCGCAACCACATTAATTCTGAGGGCCCCCAGTATGCATTCACCCTCGAGCATGATGTCACCTCCAAGGGTGTTACCATTGAGGCCGCTGTGCAAATGGTTATATCACAATCAAATAAGCATCAGATGACTTAGACATATACTCACAACTGAAGAAGACAATCAAGCCAACTAAACACGCCAGTCAACATAATAAGAATCAACAAGGCTTAAAATCATCAAATCGTAGTTTAGGCAAATCTAACTTTTCAAAGTGAATTACTTTTAGACATGATGAATTAAGAACTTGCTCTATCCCACAAGCAGTTAATCATAAAATCAGCTAAACTATGTATCAAACACCTTAGAAGTATGTTTTTGGTTGAAAAAAAAACATACTTAGAGGTTTCATCTTAACTTACCTTAGCTCAAAATGTATGTCAAGCACCTGTAACGTTCACATCACACTCACAAGTTCCAATCTACACATAGAAAATCTTAACAACAACTATTCGTAATAATTAAGTTCAATCCATATTTGTTAGCGAAAATGAAAGAATACTTGAGAAATAGAAGGACGTTTAAATATTTCTACCAATCAAGGCTCGATAACCACTTTTGTTCGATCAATGATAAGATCCATCGATGAAGCGAGCAAGAAACAACTAATGACCATGGGGAGTACAGTCACTAGTAGTTTTCCCCTCATTCCGCTTTTAGTAAATATAGTCGCCAGTGGTTTTCCCCCTCATCCTGCTTTTTGCAACAACCACATAGTTGGTCCATCCACCAGTACTTTTTTACCCTCAATAAGCATATAACTAATGTGTCACCTGTGAGAAAAAAATATAATATATAAGTTTAGTCCAAGACTAATAATTTAAAAGCATGAATGACATATATATGAACAAAGAAATTGAAAAATAATTACGATAAAGTGAAATATCAATTGTTTAGTGTCGCCTCATTAGAAGAGGTTCATTGGCAAATAAAAGTATGCCTCGGAACCTTGATGACGATTCTAAAGTGCACATTAAGCGAGGCAAAGCGGTCAACACGTTTTGAGCCTCGCTTCAGGGGTTAAGCGCGCATTTGATAACATTGAACTGAAGATTGCACCAATATATACACACTATTAATTAGAAGAGTTCCACCTATCTTATGCATGGTTCTTTCACAATCAACAATTGCAAAATAATCAGGGATAAAATTAGTGTAGTCAACATCTTGCAACTGCCAATGCAAATGAGGACAAAAAGCAGTAACCATCACCTCAATATTAATATCTGTGGATAACACAATACAGAATGTTGAGGCAAGATCTTACCAGAGAATTGGCCAACAGACTCTAATCATTTTTTACAAAAGTTGGATACTGATGTGACGTAAACCAAGCAACAGAAGAAACACTGCATGAGGTGGAAACAACAAATAAGTAGTATATCCAATAAACATGTGTACCAGCACTCCCAATACTGTAGAGTGCTCTAAGAAATTTCTGAAGCAAATTCAGCATATTAAGCCAATTCCTGAATAACATCCAGAGGGTAGAGGGAATGAATTTCTTTTAGATCACAAGTTTCAAAAGTCCTTTTTTCTTTTGTAATTTCATGTCGAAACAAACAACATCGCATAAAATAGGACGAAGAGAGTATATCAAGAAGAGAACATTATTTCTATTGTCACCATTAAAAAAACAACTAAACATGAGAGTTGTGCATTCATTAAGGAGTTAACCCAAAACCTTACAACACAATCTAATGGCACTATGCACCACCTTTATTGCATTCCTAAAATCACCCTTCTCTTTCAGAAGATTCACACAAAGTACGTCATAGATATTTATATTCTATTAAATAGAAATTCAGAAAAAAAAACTTAGATGTTCAGTCAAGCTTCTAGTAAGACTTAAGGCAACTATTCATTCAATCTATAAGTAGGAATAGCCATTAGATGTTGAGCTCGAGGTGTCACTAAGCCGAATTTCTCAGTCATGTCTATATGGTTTGGCATCATACCATTCGGTAGCTCCCAATCAAAGCAATGAACCAATTGTGCTAACACTAGGCGAACGATGGTGAGCCCTAGTTGTAATCCAGGGCAACTTCTTCTGCCAGAGCCGAATGGTAAAAGTTGAAAGTCATGCCCACGAAGATCAATGTTGCTATCAACGAACCTTTCTGGCATGAACTTCTCGGGGTCAGGCCAAGCTTCTGGATCTCTTCCAATCGCCCACACATTTACAAAAAGTCTTGAACCTTTAGGTATATCAAAACCATCAACTATGCAATCTTCAATTGATTCATGAGGTGTCAGTAGTGTTGAAGGGGGGTGCAGCCTAAGTCCTTCTCTTATAACCATGTCTAAGTACTCTAGCCTTTCCAAGTCTGACTCTTCCACCATTCTATTTATGCCAACTGCTTGTTCCAACTCAATTTGTAGTTTCTTCATAACCTTAGGGTGTCTTAAAAGTTCAGAAAGAATCCAGTCAATTGCAATTGATACATTGTCTGTTGAAGCTAATAGCAAGTCCTGCATATATAGGGAGATATTTTTCAGTTTGCTAAAGGCATAACAATATTGATCACAAGTACAATACTATGTAATGGTCCTATGCGACGCAAATCTGAATTAGTCGGTAAAGTGAGTACCGAATACTAGATGGGTAAAAATGATTTAAGATTTTTTTTTCTGAAGTATAGAAGATAAATCCAATTAATAAAGTAAATGGAGTGAAATCCATTAACATTACCAGCAAGACAGCTTTGACATCGCGACGGTCAATCTTGAATTCAGCTTCTCCAGATTGCATAATAGTCATCATAGTATCAACCATATCCTTAGCTTGATTCTGCTCCTTGGATTGAACATGCTCATCAATAACTTTCTCAAAAAATTCATCAAAAATCTTTGCCAAGTCCTTCATACGAGCAATAAATCCCTGCAAATCAAACACACTAAGGAAAGGAAAGAACTCAGCAATATTTGGTGATGCCACTAAAAATGAAGCCTCATAAAAAATATTTTTAAAACCCCTTTCATCAAACTCTTCTTCCATATACTTCTTGCCAAATACCATTAAACACGACATATCCACGATTAGAGAGGCAAGGTCAGCACTAAGATCAACCTCAACACGATTAGAAGCTGCTTGTTTAAGAAAATTCACAAATATTCCAAGCTCTTGTTTTCTCATAGATCGAAATGAATTGATCTTGATGTTACTAAGCAATTTCATCTTGCACAATTTTCGCATATTTCTCCAATGAGGTCCATATTTTGCGAAAACTATATCTCTGTGATCATATGCAATGTATTGAGCAGCTGCATTATATGGTCTATTAGCAAAAGCAATATCATGTTTTTTTAAGAATAGTTCAGCTGCATGAGGAGATGAAGCAACGATTACAGGAACAAGACCAAATTGCATACTCATTATGGGACCATGTTTTTTTGCTATATGATGAAGAGCTTGATGGAGATTTTTGCCTAATACCATATGGAGATTTCCTATAATTGGAAACCCTTTAGGACCTGGAGGAAGTTTCTTTTTCTTTTTCATGAATATGTTGAGAAATGCTTGAACAGGGTATAGCACTGCAACTATCACTGCAAGAACTTGCCAAATAGAAACCATTGATGTAAATTAATGTGTTAGCTTCCTAACTTACAAATAGTTTCTCTATATAGAAATGTGATGGCACTTAACTAAGTTCAACATATATTTATACACCTAATCATAACATACATAGAAGGTAAATAACAATTTAGACCCCATGCATATAGGGGAAGTAAGTAGGCATTTGGACTTTGCACATAGAATTGATTGAAATTTGAAAAAAGAGTATTTGAAGTTGAAAAAAGGTATTTGGAAATTGAAGTTGTGTTTAGACATGCATTTTACTAGAAAAGAAAGAAGGCTTTCTAAGTGAAAAAACCATTTTCAATCAATTTTGCAAACTTGAAAATTTGAAAAACTCATTTTTAAAAATCATTCCAATGTATAACCAAACAACGTTTTGGAAAAAAAAATTCATATCCAAACAGGCCCTAAGGACAGTAACAACCTTTGTAAACTTTGTACACAACAACAACAAATATAATAATAATAATAATAGTAGTAGTAGTAGTAGTAGTCACCTTTGGTAGGAAGCATTTTATCCCCAAAAGTGGAACTTCCCTAGGAGAATTCAAATTAGTTTGACCCAAAGTGGGTATTGGACACCAGGTGGAAAACCAAGAAAAAAAATAAAAGTAATAGTAATGGTTGGCCGGCCTAGTTCTAGGACCATTAGACCTTCATCTATTAAATAGGCTCTAGTAACACGTTTTCTAATAGCACTCACTCACTAGCCAATCTGAACAACTAGAGTATATAAATGGTAAAGCATACACCATCTGTTCCACTTTGATTCTCAAGATGATAAATTTCTTCTCCCCCCACCTCTAAGGGACCTTAGGATGGTGTTTTCATTTATTGTTTAATCAATTTATGTTAAATGCATGGTCTTCCTTAAAGTATTTACTAAATTGGCAGTTAGGCCATTTTGACAAAAGTTTTACTTAGGTTGGCCAACTTAAATCTATTCTGGTACCGTGAAGAAAAGAACTTAGATCTGGTACTAATTGGTACACTACTTAGCTCTTGCATAAACAATAACTGGCTCTCAATATTTTCTAACACAATGTTATAAAATACTTATTTTCTATATAACTCTCTGCACCCTTACATTATTAGCTGGATATATACCTTGGTAAAATGGAGCCATGGAAAGACTTGAGTGGAGAAATAGTGATGGTGATGGGCGTCATCAGGAATCTGGCAAGAATTGTGTCTCGACTTGGCGAAAGCCAGTCGCAGCATCACTGCTGCCGCTCATCGTGTTGACAGGCTGAAATCTCTCTGCAACTACATTAATTCAGAGGGCCCCCAATATGCATTCACCCTCGAGCCTGATGTCACCTCCAAGGGTGCTACCATTGAGGCCGCTGTGCAAATGGTTATATCACAATCAAATAAGCATCAGATGACTCAGACATATACTCACAACTGAAGAAGACAATCAAGCCAACTAAACACGCCAGTCAACATAATAAGAATCAACAAGGCTTAAAATCATCAAGTCGTAGTTTAGGCAAATCTAACTTTTCAAAGTGAATTACTTTTAGACATGATGAATTAAGAACTTGCTTTATCCCACAAGCAGTTAATCATAAAATCAGCTAAACTATGTATCAAACACCTTAGAAGTATGTTTTTTGTTGAAAAACATACTTAGAGGTTTCATCTTAACTTACCTTAGCTCAAAATGTATGTCAAGCACCTGTAACGTTCACATCACACTCACAAGTTCCAATCTACACAATAGAAAATCTTAACAACAACTATTCGTAATAATTAAGTTCAATCCATATTTGTTAGCGAAAATGAAAGAATACTTGAGAAATAGAAGGACGTTTAAATATTTCTACCAATCAAGGCTCGATAACCTATTTTGTTCGATCAATGATAAGACCCATCGATGAAGCGAGCAAGAAACAACTAATGACCATGGGGAGTACAGTCACAAGTAGTTTTCCCCTCATTCCGCTTTTAGTAAATATAGTCGTTAGTGGTTTTCCCCCTCATCCTGCTTTTTGTAACAACCACATAGTTGGTCCATCCACCAGTACTTTTTTACCCTCAATAAGCATATAACTAATGTGTCACCTGTGCACACTTCTCTCTGTATGTTTTTAACTTAAGTAATACTCCATATACTAATAGTTTCTTTCACACACAAAAGGTTGATCATGGGGAGTAAGAAAGAGCAAATCCTTTCTTTTGCAGAGTATAATAGAAATAACTCACAAAACCACTGGGCAAAAGGAACAGGTTGTGAGAGACATAGGGTACCTGAACGGGGTTCATTTGAACCCCTTTCCTGAGAAAATTATACTATTACTATATATACAAGATCAAAATTAACTTTTTACATACAATCCCCTTGGCTTCTTTAGATGTTTTTCTTCTTTATATTCTGAATCCCCTTAAATAAAAAACCAAACGCTGATGTCTTTGTTTGATAAGTAGAATCCTGTTCCAAAATGCTTCACCAACCATAAAGCAAACAACTTTTGTGCATTACTCTGGAATCTGTATTACTAACATATGCAAACTCTTCAGTACATAAGCATTACACAAGGATGGTAATTTAAGCTTATTTGATGACACAAACTGTAGTGTCTGTGAGCTTTTCATCCCAACACTTAATAATTAAGTGATAATATACCCATAACGATGGTGGAAAAGTGATAAATACTCTTTTATTCTTAATCAGAAGTTTCGTGTTCGAGCCTATTGGAATTCAATTTTCAGCTAATTAAAAACAACAATGCAACGGAAAATGAAATACCTTAGATTCAAAAAAAGACCTCCTTTTTAGCCTTTAAGCAGAAAGCTCTCTCTTCTTTACAGAAACAGAGAAATGGCTGTGCTCCATATACATTCTTTGCTTCGCCGTAACGATCCGACCCGACCCATGAACTCAGATTCCTTTCCGGTGAACGGAGAGGATTATGGTCGATTTTTGAGGAAATGGAAAAAATGGATCCTTATGTTTGTGTTTAGCTACAAAATAGTCCCTTTATATGTGCTTTAAGTAATTTTGGTCTTTTAAATTTATCAAAAGTTAATTTCTGTCAATTATTTAACAAAAAAAGCTTTGTCTCTCTATTTGATTTGAACCATTGATCAAAGGGAACTATAGTATTAATAAAGAAGACCACTGAGCTTCGAGACATGTTTTGATAAATAGTTGGTAGGGAACTCGCAAAAAACATGATACTTCAATATGTTATTAACCATTATTACAAGCTTATAAGTTACCAATGATCTAACATATAATCTTACAAAATAAAAATTTGCATTTCTAGATCTTGGCTTCAATAGCAGAAGACATGGTAAATGGTGAAAAACCATGATCAAGACTAGCTTTCCATACTTTGTCAACATCAAACATCATGTCACCACACTCGTGCTCGTTCCAACCCTCAGACGCGTGCAAAATTCCAGCTATTCTCGATGCACTCATCACTCTTCTTGGCAGCCAGTTCTTGAATTACAAGACAAAATCAATCGTCAATAAATAATCAAAACTTAAACAGAAAAAATTTACTATGAGGATATTAAATAATCTTTTCTGACCTCACAAGAGTCTACATTTTGAAGATGTTTTGGACAAATCATGGCTGGTGTGCTGAAGTAGAAGCAATCCTCGCTAACTTTCTTTGGTGGAAATGGTGAATAAGGAATAAATAATGTTCCTTTTGGTGCTTTCAATTGCTCATCTTCACTCAATCCATCATCTACTAGCCATGTCTGCAATATATCGCGTCAAAATCAATCAATTACTTCCTAATTCTTGAATTATATCACGATTATATGTTATAGTACTACCTTTGAAACACAAGTACTTTTCGACAAGACCAAATTAGCTGCAGCCTCGGGGGTAAACCTTGCTTTAAGTCCCTTGTACTCTTCTTCGTCTAACGTGACAACCTATATATGTATAAAAAAGATTACGATGAATTGCAGAGATTAAAGGTAAACCAAAATCAAGGAGCTAGGATAGTGTAAGAAGATTATTAATACCTGAATTCCTCGTTGACACAAGGCGAGGGCAATAGCACTAGCAACTTTGGATAAACGACGAGCTTGAAGTACCACTTGGGATGTTCCTTTAGGAATGGAGTTGAGAACCACAGCAACAACTAGGCTACTTCCATCTACCACTTTAACTTTCAGCTCAGGATGCTTCCTTATGTAAATTTTACCATTGTTATTCAACTTCTCTTCCTATAAAGTAAGTTCCATTTGTATAAGTATCGACTCATTAGATCTTTAAAAAGATTGAAGATTCTATATCTGAATTCACATAGAAAACTAGATAGTTTGACCTTTGAACTCTGAATCGTCTCACATAAAGAGGGACAAACAGAGGATTTAAATTTACTTGCCTGATTTAATAGTCCGAGGCTCAAAACCTTTACGCCTTTCTGATCTGCTTCCATGATGGCTTCCTTGATCAAATTATTAATACTCTTTCTTTGCCATTGACTAAAGTACTGTAACAAAAAACCAAGAATCATGACAAATGATAACAGATCCAAATTAATGGGAAAAACAATTAAACAATCTTGAATATGATATAGATTATTACTTGTTTGCGAAACTTTGGAATAGCCCAAGTTTGTAATTTGAGATCCTTGAACAAATTCCTCTCGATAACAAACGTGTGACTATAAATCCAAGTAATCACTATTGACCATAGCGTGACAGGCCACATTAACCACAAATACCACTTAGAGCTAGTCATGTGAGGCTTCGAGGCCAAAGATGAAAATCCTAGACGGAGATGATAGATGGCTTGTAAGGTTGTTAGATGTGTAAGGTGAACCACATCAGGCACTTCAGCTTTTTTCTCAAGTGACTTTTCATACAACGTGTCACTTGACTTGTCCATTGTACCAAAAATATAGTCATATATTGGCATGAAAAGAGAATAATTAGTTCTGAATTGTGTGTGATGTAGTGAATGGTACCTGTGACATCAACACATTCATATCATAACCTGATAGTGTAAAAATTACTCAAAATATGTCTAGGGACAAGAAGTGTACTCACGAGGGCGTATATATCAAGTACTTGAGAGGTGGAAACAGAGAGAACATCCACTTTGGAATAACCTCAAAGTTACAATGGCCCAAGTTGTTCATGAAATCAGTAAAGATAACATAAAGAGTAATTGTAGCTACAGAAGTAGTCCCAGTGAATTCTGTTGCGATTACAGGAACAGCAAAGATGGCATAATATGATGCGACCTCAGCAAACGGATGAATAAATGCTGTCAAATACATCAATTTAAAGTCCTTGTGAATTAGTAACCTTGTATAAAAGGTTAAAAAATGTACTAGTTAAAGAACCATTGTTTAAAGGGAATGAAGACGGACTTACCACTGATAGGTTGAGTAACAATAGAGGAGTGGTGATGAGAATGATAACGCGAATAGAGAAAATGGTGATGCAGAGCTCTATGAAACCAATAATAGATA